GAGGGATCCTCTTACCACTACCTGTCCCATTTCACCAGACTGACTTCTTCTGTCTATTCCATTTGGTTTTCAATGGGACTAAAGTGAGACAGAGCTACTTACCGCACAGTACTTACTGTAGTAATGAATGCTGTAGTGAAACCCACGGTTGTAGTGCTCTATCTTTCTGTCTTTGTCTACTTCATATATTTATTTGCCAGACCAAGTCACTATTATTCAGGTCACAAGCAAGTCTCAAGTCACAAGGTCCAAGTCTCAAGTTGATTCCCAAGTAGAATGGGTCAAATTTCGAGTCGAGTCAAGTTTTTTGAAGTCAAGTAAAAAACAAAAAAATCTATACGTGCAATGACTTGTTCAACTACAAATCTTTGTCTATTTATTGAGGCTACCAGACAGCCCTTTACATTATTTTGTCTGCAACATATTTTAATTATGCAATAATACATTTTAACAACAAATTCCAAATGCAAGCTTCATAAGTAAATTATACATTTTAACACATTTCATTCCAAAAGACCAGTAGGCCTATGCTAGTAATTGTTTCTTGATGCCCAATTGCTGGTGAGCTTGCAATGTAAACAGTACATTTTCTTGATCACCCACAATTTTTGGAGCTGCATGTTTAGTTATGGTAATTCTCTCTCCCTACAATTTGATGTTAGTGCTGCACCGGATTCTATAGCTGTACAGCAAATCAGCAATTTGTTTGCTAGCTCAGTGGTTCTCAAACCTTTTGACCTGCGACCCCCAAAAGGAGTGGTTCAAAGCTGCCGACCACCAGCGCATGCACATGCACTCGCGCTAACGCGCAATCGCTGCTTAAATGTAGCCTGATATTACAGCAAGAGCCTAGCTGCATGTGAGGACACCGAGGTCTGGTAATTTTTTCGAATTAGGAACTCAGTCGGGGTCTCAATTTACTGTTGACAGATAGAATAGTACAATACACAATGTGCAATTTCAAAACTTTGTTATGAATCAACAGTTTTCCTCTTGTTATATGTCACTCACTGACAGTCACTCAATTAGCCCATGTCAGTAAAAAAAAAATGTGATTGGTAAATTTGTCTAGTTAGTCTAGCTATCTAAATGTAGTAATCCTGTCCGAATTACCGACCAGAAACGCAGGGCACATGCCCAGGGGCCCTGACTTCCAGGGGGCCCCCATTGATTTTTTTTAGTCACTCTCACTCATTAGACAGTGTTACCACCACAAACGCTAGTGTATAAAACAAGCTCTGTATGACAGGAAGTGGAACTCTAAGAGAGAACACTCATTTCTCCCCACCCCATGGTAAAATGTGTATTGCATGAAATTAGTTTTAAAACTGCAACAACAAAAAGTTCTGCAAAGCAAACATAGTTGTTTACCTTTTGTTATTAAAATTATTTTTCTGCTAACAGAACCCTCTGTATGTATTAAATTATAGTTTTTAATACCGGTGCTGAGGTAATGTGAGTTAATGTGTAGTGGCTAATTGTATAGCTAATAGGCTATGTGTTTGTAGATCGACTGAGGTGATTGAAACTACAGCAACCAATGTGATAATGGCTGGGGTCATTTTTGCTTGTTTTTGCTGTTCTCCAAAATTCATTTTAGAGTTTTTAAATTGTATAGAAATGCAGTAAATTAGCTTGAACTTTCTTAAAATGTATTGGATGGGACTTAGACCCTGGTTACGGCCCTGATTACAGCCATAAACGGTGATGCATTTTCAAAACGCAAGACACGCAAATAAACTGCGTTTTACATCTGCGTTTTAAGATGAAAGTCATTCATGTTAGCAGCCAATATCAACAAGGGATATCATGTCACTTCTCTGGAGTCCAGAGCAAGCAGGATAATATGCCTACCCTACCTGTATGCAGCGGAGGTTGCAGAAGACAGATGGAAAGCTGCACCACGCGCTATCACTTTGGAGGGCCGCTTGCCTACAGGAGTGCTCGTTGCCAACTGGGTAGCCCCTTTCTTCCTCACAAATATCGGGGGTTCAGGTGCGATGTTGCGGCTACTGTCTATGGCTGCGTGGAGAGTAATCCTGGCCAGAGAATTTCAAGTCATCAATTTCAAGTCACAGTCGAGTCTTGAGGCTCCAAGTCAAGTCTCAAGTTATTTTATTTTCTATCAAGTCGAGTCTCAACTCATCAAATTTGTGACTCGAGTCAGACTCGAGTCCAAGTCATGTGACTCGAGTCCACACCTCTGTTATCTGCCTCATTAGTTTTTCTCTCCTTTCTTTTTTGTCTCCCTCATTCTCGTATCAGTACAGTATAACAAGGGGCTTAATTCTCACTTCTATATAGTCTCCTGTTGCCTCTGTCACTTTCCTTCTCTTCCTCTGCACAGTCTGGTGACCATAGTTAACAGTATGGCTCCTTAGCTCATGGAAGACCTTGTTCTTACTCACACAAGCTAGACTGAAGTAATTTGGTTTCAAATGAAATTCTATATTTAGAGATGTAAGAGAATACACCCTGCAATGCCTATATTGATTTGAATTTAGGAAATTCAAATAACCCTGGTGGGAGGCCTAGCTATGTGGTGTGTGTGCCTTTCCTGTATTGTAATGAAAAGAAGCTGCGTAGCATTTATTATGTTAGAACCTTTTGGTGCCTGGCTTGGTAATTACAGCATGGAGCTACCTTTAAACTACGCATGGATTTATTTATGTTTCTTCTCTCATAGCAGAACGTGAAGACATTTGAATTCAGAGAGAAAATGAAAGAGTCTTGTTTCTGTGATATTTTTACCAGTTCTGTTTTTTTTTTCTAAATGTCAAACCCCCTGCTGAGATTGACATGCAAATGTTTCCCACTGTTCAGAATGTTTAGAGCAGGTTGAAGAGCAAGGGTTATTTCTCGGGTAGTTAAGTGCACTAGCTAACACGTGTAGGGTTTTTACCCATCACTGCTGTTGTGTTGCTGATGGTCCTGATAGTGGTTATAGCAGTGGAATCTTTGTGTGAGTTGCTCTCTTTTTCCAATTGTTCAAAGCCCAAGATCCTTTTTCAGATGGTGCTTTTTCAAAAATGGCTTGCTTCAATCAAAGGCATAAAGCCAGGCAGATTGTACAGACTACAAATTCTGCAATGCACACAATATTACTTTGTACGAACCAATGTCATATTCCATAAAACAAGCTTTTGATGGGAGCTCTTCTCAACAGTGAGGTTCAAAGGAAGAGCACTGATGTGCTGTGGCTGGAATAGTATGAAAGACGTGCATTAAGGACATCAAATTAAGAAAAAGAGCCTTTGGTGTAAATAAAATAATGTCCATTGAACAGGTTTCGAGCAGCTTTGGAGGAGCTGCTGTTTTTGACAAATTACTGTCAGATGTTCACCACAAAAATAGTCAAAACATGTCCACAGATTTTGGTTATGAACAGATATTATGCTTACCGTATAGCCTTACTAAACTTAGCCCATAGCATTAAATGAGTTGTTTTTCAGTGTAACAAAACATACAGTACATAGCAGCTATTCACACAAGGTCAGTGACTCACCCAATACTTACGGGTACCTACCCTGACAGAACTCCTACAGAGAAATCACTACGTTACAGTAGTAACACTACTCTCTTTGCTGATTCCCACCGTCAGCCAAAGCCACAGTGGGCGATAGTTAGTGATAAACGAGGGCTGGCCAAGCAGAGCCAAGCAGACAGAGAGAGAGCGATATTCAGAGTGAGAGAGAAGCCACTTGAAAGGTGATGATGTATGACCCTCAGAGGCATTACATCCCTTCACTTCAGCGTCTCTCCGCCCGACTCTGGATCCAAAGCACCTTTCCCCAGTCAAATGGGATGCACACACCTGAAAAATGAGAAGGCATTACTTATGAAGTAGATGTCACCGGCCGTGGTGTTATTGTTGAAGTGCACTTTGTCATTCCCTTCTTAGCATTTTTTCCCCTTTTTTCTTATAAAAAAAAATAATCTTGGCACAGAATATAAATGGGCACCCTGGTGTATAAAACCAACTGAGTGAGTATGGAGCATCTGTCAGTGTTGCCACAGAGGAGGGTGAACATGCTGTTACTCTGCTGGAGGATCTCTCTGTCCTAAGCACAGTTAGCAGTGGCACACTGTGTTATGTTCACTAGTACAGTGGGTAGGTAGTCTACATAATAGGTACAGTTATGTATTTGAATTACTGTTATTTTACTGAAAAGTATAATGACATGCAATACTCTTAGAGTTACACTTCCTGTCATACAGAGCTTGTTTTATACACTAACGTTTGTGGTGGTAACACATCGCTCGTAGAGAGTGTTATCAAGTTTCTTGAAGAAGATGATATACCAAAGAAGATGATTTCTCTTGATAAATATCACTTGGACAGATGTTGTTATGGAGACTGTTGTCTCTGTTTGAAAAGTGATATACTGTATGTGTGTTAAAGCATTCAGAGTTACCCAGGGGATTGAGTTCTTTGTCAGGAAATTGCCTTTGCGGCAACAGACACTACTAAAATCAAGTTTGATTTGTATACAGTTATTTATCTGAAGGACAAACATCATCCTTTGTAGTTTTAGAAATACTTTATTTCATCAAAACTATTTCCAGAAATAGGTCTTCTTTCTAACACTTGTGTTCTGAATGGGGACAAATATTGTTGTAATGAAGTGAATCTCAGGTTGTCTTTATTTGAATAAACTATGATATTTACCATCATTCATATTCCTACCGCATAACTGAAACCATAGGCAAGGTCTTTAAATTTAAACTGCAGATTATTTTGTACAAAATGATTATCGCATTGAATTTGAAAGATTACCGCATGGAATTTAATTGCAACATAAAAGGGCGTTGGGGATTAACATTTTGGATTGTTTATGTATTAGAGAAAGCACTCACAGGAATATACAATCTAAAAATTACCTGCCACGGTTGTCCAGTCTTCCTATTTTATTTGAAGAAATAAATTAGACAAGAATATATACTTAAAGAGATCAGATTGTTTCCTAGTGACCTTTGACCTTGTAAATGACAGCAAACACATGCAGTCAGTGGTAACAAGTGACTCTGGGTTCTGAGGTAATCATTCAGATTGACCTTCAAGCAATGATGTACTGTATCACTCACAGCCCACCAATCACCATTCATCACTATTCATCACTATTCATCAACCAGTAATTGGCACAGTCAATACAATTAACACAACACCTCTTTATCTATAAGCTATTCATATTGTATGTAAAAACAATGTTTTATGAAAGGGCAAATTGGACCAAATTTGATTGCACCTGTCTTTGATTATAAACTTCTTAGAGGTAATGTATTCTAGCAGTCAAGTAAAAATACCATTCACTTTTGTGCAATCATTTACACTGTACACTGACGATTGAACATGGCAACCGTCCAGAACGTACTCTGTCTGAAATGTGATGACAGAGCAGTAATGAGTATTCCACAGTATTTGTGTCTATGGCTGCATGGAGCGTAATCCTCCCGGATGCACATTTTGGGTTTTGCCCTAACACTACACAGCTGATTCAAATAACCAACTAATCACCAAGCTTTGATTATTTGAATCAGCTGTGTAGTGCTAGGGCAAAAACCAAAAAGTGCACCCGGGGTGCAACTCAATCTTAGGAAGGTGTTCATAATGTTTTGTACACTCAGTGTCCTCCCGAGTGGCGCAGTGGTCTAAGGCACTAGCTGTGCCACTAGAGATCCTGGTTCGAATCCAGGCTCTGTCGTAGCCGGCCGTGACCGGGAGACCCATGGGGCGGCGCGCAATTCATACAATTGCAACGCCAGGGTTGTGGGTTCGATTCCAGTATAAAAAATAAAAATGTATGCACTCACTAACTGTAAGTCGCTCTGGATAAGAGCGTCTGCTAAATGACTAAAATGTAAATGTATAGCTATGTAATTTGAGGACTGTAGGCTAAAAGTATTCCCTACTTATTGATCCAGTTCATAAGTGGGTTGTTATTGGCTCTCAATCATAAGGTGCTAGAGAATCCCATTGTATATTTTACAATGATTATATCCCTACATCATGAAAATGATTAACCAAGAGGTTATTAGTCTTTAATTCTGATTTACTGGTCCACCTCTCTCACTGGAATAATTTATTGATTCAAATGGTGGGTTTTATGAACACATGAGTTTGACTATTACTGTTCTCCTCTCATAATGAAGGGGCTTTTGAATTTTGAATTCAGTACAATATTGAAAAATGTTTTTTCCTCACTACATTGTCATAATCTGTAGAAATCCAATTTTGCACCATTTACTCCAGTAGTTCAGTATTAATGGTGGCGGGAAAAAAGCTCTGCAACAATGACTGAACTTTGGAAATGGTTGGGTTCAGGGATGGATTGGATATGTCTGCTACGTTAACTAGCTCATTCTTGATGATGGTTTTGGTTTGGAACAGGTCTGCCCCAGGCGAATAAGGCTAAGATCTTCCAGGGGCTGACAGTGGACCAGGGATTCTACACATCCAAGGACTTCCTGCCACTGGTGGCCAAGGCCAGTAAAGCCGGTACGTTATAAAGGAAATGATAAAGGGACTTTCATAGTCACACAGAATTAGGTACACTTGTCATTTTGTACCGTAGGGGTGTACCGTAGGGTGTAAAATAAATTAAATCAGATGCTTGTCTGACAACGTCACAGTCGTTTCGGCTGCAATAAAAAGGGCCAAAATCTCTCCCATCAAAAATGGCACAGTCAGTTCAGGAATAATACATCTTCAGACAGCAAACGCAAGCACAACTCTGAAGTACAGTACTGCTGATATTAAAATATGTTTTGCTGTTGAAACGTATTGTAAGAGCAGGGTAAAAGAGCTACCTGGTTTTATCGCCCTCTGTCCATCTCACAGTCTCGCTCTCGCTCTCTGTTTTCTCTTCCTCTTCCTCCCCCACTATCTCTCTAAGGCATGTGTAGCTGTAAGTCTCAACTGCCCGAGCTCCATGGCGTGGTCATCGTCCTAGGTGCCGGTGACACGGCGTTCGACTGTGCCACCTCTGCCCTGCGATGCGGTGCACGCCGAGTCTTCGTGGTCTTCAGGAAGGGCTTCACTAACATCCGTGCCGTCCCCGAGGAGGTAGACATAAAGCTAGAGCCTCTCAGACCCTGGCTCTTAACTTTGGCTTTAAAGTTGTTTCTGACCCATGCTCCTTTGACCACAATATTGATTGTGACCTCCTACCCTGAGATGCTTTTTGAATACGGGCCCTGGGCAGCATTATAACTTGAGATTTATTTTAGCAAAAATTCAGTGCATGAATTATGCAGTAGAGTTATACATACCGGTCTCAAGTTAGAAAATGTCCCTCAAAGCATACACCTAGAACCTGACCATGCTCAATTACTCACAAAACTATTTCTGATTGTTGTATAGTGCTAGGAAGCTTATGGTGGCTTTCGTCTTGACTTTATATTAGCTCATGGCCATTCACATTGTCCTTTGTCTTATCTGGGAAAAAGTAATGCAACTTATTGCACTGTAAAAATGTCTTACTTTGTTTAATTGAAAGAAAGAAAAGTAAAAACAACAACTTTTGAGTGGATTATAAAACTAGTTTTATTCTTGGAATTTTCCCACGAAACAATAATCTTTTTTAAGACATTGTTCTGAACAATCGACATCAGTAGCCTTGATACCATGGAAACAGAAAGAACATAATAAAAATAACAATACTAAAGAAGTGAGGTACTTTAACCTTTGAGTTTCAAACATACAGTACATACAGTGCCTTCAGAAAGTATTCATATCCCTTGACTTAATCCACATTTTGTTGTGTTACAGCTTGAATTCAAAATTGATTAAATATTTTTTTTCGCCCACCCATCTACACACAATACCCCATAATGACTTAGGAATTTATTCCTTTCCTATACACTTCTCAGTACAGTGGGGGAAAAAAAGTATTTAGTCAGCCACCAATTGTGCATGTTCTCCCACTTAAAAAGATGAGAGAGGCCTGTAATTTTCATCATAGGTACATGTCAACTATGACAGACAAATTGAGAAAAAATTTTTTCCAGAAAATCACATTGTAGGATTTTTTATGAATTTATTTGCAAATTATGGTGGAAAATAAGTATTTGGTCACCTACAAACAAGCAATATTTCTGGCTCTCACAGACCTGTAACATCTTCTTTAAGAGGCTCCTCTGTCCTCCACTCGTTACCTGTATTAATGGCACCTGTTTGAACTTGTTATCAGTATAAAAGACACCTGTCCACAACCTCAAACAGTCACACGCCAAACTCCACTATGGCCAAGACCAAAGAGCTGTCAAAGGACACCAGAAACAAAATTGTAGACCTGCACCAGGCTGGGAAGACTGAATCTGCAATAGGTAAGCAGCTTGGTTTGAAGAAATCAACTGTGGGAGCAATTATTAGGAAATGGAAGACATACAAGACCACTGATAATCTCCCTCGATCTGGGGCTCCACGCAAGATCTCAACCCGTGGGGTCAAAATGATCACAAGAACGGTGAGCAAAAATCCCAGAACCACACGGGGGGACCTAGTGAATGACCTGCAGAGAGCTGGGACCAAAGTAACAAAGCCTACCATCAGTAACACACTACGCCGCCAGGGACTCAAATCCTGCAGTGCCAGACGTGTCCCCCTGCTTAAGCCAGTACATGTCCAGGCCCGTCTGGAGTTTGCTAGAGTGCATTTGGATGATCCAGAAGAGGATTGGGAGAATGTCATATGGTCAGATGAAACCAAAATAGAACTTTTTGGTAAAAACTTAACTCGTCGTGTTTGGAGGACAAAGAATGCTGAGTTGCATCCAAAGAACACCATACCTACTGTGAAGCATGGGGGTGGAAACATCATGCTTTGGGGCTGTTTTTCTGCAAAGGGACCAGGACGACTGATCCGTGTAAAGGAAAGAATGAATGGGGCCATGTATCGTGAGATTTTGAGTGAAAACCTCCTTCCATCAGCAAGGGCATTGAAGATGAAACGTGGCTGGGTCTTTCAGCATGACAATGATCCCAAACACACCGCCCGGGCAACGAAGGAGTGGCTTCGTAAGAAGCATTTCAAGGTCCTGGAGTGGCCTAGCCAGTCTCCAGATCTCAACCCCATAGAAAATCTTTGGAGGGAGTTGAAAGTCTGTGTTGCCCAGCGACAGCCCCAAAACATCACTGCTCTAGAGGAGATCTGCATGGAGGAATGGGCCAAAATACCAGCAACAGTGTGTGAAAACCTTGTGAAGACTTACAGAAAACGTTTGACCTGTGTCATTGCCAACAATGGGTATATAACAAAGTATTGAGAAACTTTTGTTATTGACCAAATACTTATTTTCCACCATATTTGCAAATCAATTCATTAAAAAATCCTACAATGTGATTTTCTGGATTTTTTTCTCTCATTTTGTCTGTCATAGTTGACGTGTACCTATGATGAAAATTACAGGCCTCTCATCTTTTTAAGTGGGAGAACTTGCACAATTGGTGGCTGACTAAATACTTTTTTTCCCCACTGTATTTGGTAGTCAGACTTACCTTATTCAGTCGCATAACGCGCTCTGCAGGTGTGGCTACCTTGCTCGCTCTGAATAAATATAATTCAGCCGCTGAAAACCCTCCCACTTGCTGGCCAACAGATTTTCTCATGCACTTTCACTGTGGAAAAGGGGCCGCAATACATGTCATGTTGATATGATTTTCAGTTTGCTTCACATTTGTCTCCAGGGATCATAAAGAAAAATAATCTAAAACAATTGCTATGTGTATTTACAATCCCCTTCTCCAAACGGATTTCTCATTTACCTAGCTCTTATCAATAGCTCTTAATAATTAATAAATTACAGTGCATGGAGAATGCTGTTATTTCTAGCGAAAAATTAAAGTAGATGCTTTTTCCACTTGGAACTGGCAGGTTCGCTCAACCTTATTTATGGTTCCCTCTGACCTTAAGTCAAGGTCAGAATACGGCTTATCTGTAGACACACCTCTGCCACACCTTCATTTATTTGAGCTCCACCTCAAACGAATAGTGGGTGAATAGCATGCTATTCTCATGCTTAAGTTCAAGGTCAGAATACGCATTGAGAAGCTTAAACAGGGAATTACGCACTTAACTCGGGTCGGAAACAATCCACACCTGGATTGTGCAACATTTTCTCATTATTCTTTTCAAAATTCTTCAGGCTGTGTCAAATTGGTTGTTGATCATTACTAGGCAACAATTTTCAGGTCTTGCCATAGATTTTCAAGCAGATTTAAGTCAAAACTTTAACTCGGCCACTCAGGAACATTTACTGTCTTCTTGGTTAGGAACTCCAGTGTAGCTCAATTGGTAGAGCATGGCGCTTGTAATGCCAGGGTAGTGGGTTCGATCCCTGGGACCACCCATACGTAAAAATGTATGCACACATGACTGTAAGTCGCTTTGGATAAAAGTGTCTGCTAACTGGCTTATTATTATTATAGATTTGGCCTTGTGTTTTAGGTTATTGACCTGCTGAAAGGTGAATTCATCTTCCAGTGTCTGGTGGAAAGCAGACTGAACCAGGTTTTCCTCTAAGCCTGTGCTTAGTTCCATTCCGTTTCATTTTTTATCCTGAAACTCTGCAGTCCTTAACGATTACAAGCATACCCATAACATGATGCAGCACCACTATGCTTGAAAATATGAAAGTGGTACTCAGTAATGTGTTGTATTTGATTTACCCCAAACATAACACTTTGTATTCATGACAAAAAGTTAATTGCGTTGCCACATTTTTTGCAGTATTACTTTAGTGCTTTGTTGCATACAAAATTCATGTTGTGGAATATTTTTATTCGGTACAATCTTCCTTCTTTTCACTCTGTCAATTAGGTTAGTATTGTGGAGTAACTACAATGTTGATCCATCCTCAGTTTTCTCCTTTCACAGCCATTAAACTGTTTTAAAGTCAACATTGACCTCATGGTGAAATCCCTGAGCGGTTTCCTTCCTCTCCAGCAACGGAGTTAGGAAGGATGCCTATATCTTTGTGGTGACTGGGTGTATTGATACACCATCCGAAGTGTAATTAACAACTTCACCATATAATATCCAAGGTTTTTTTCTTTTTACCCATCTAACAATAAGTGCCATGCTTTGCGAGGCATTGGAAAATCTCCCTGGTCTTTGTGGTTGAATCTGTTTGAAATCCATGCAACTGATGTGACTTAAGGACATTTTTACTCCTGAACATATTTAGGCTTGCCATAATAAAGGGGTTGAATACTTGACTCAAGACATTTCAGATTTTAAAATAATAATAATTTGTAGGGGTGTGAATACTTTCTGAAGGCACTAACATATCTGTATAGGCCTCAAACATACGTAACATACAGATATATGTAACCTCGATATTTGTCCTTTTTTGTGGCCAAGGTTTTTAAACCATGGGTGGCAGTGAGGTGACTTTACTGCGTGAGGCCAGGACTTTGCACTTATTTGCTTAACAGCAGCAGGGGGGAACCATTGCCATTATAGCAGCCTGTCTGTCCCCCTACTGTGCACCGCTGTGAACAGACAGTAATTAGACCTGTGTCGTTGACTGGTTTTAAGCTGCTGTATAGAATTCATCAAGTTGGATCATGAATTCAAAGAAAACCATAGCAGGGGGAATGGGAGAAAAATGTGAAAATTGGCTCTGGATGGACATAAATAGCCTAATAATAAAGTCTGTCTTTATTCTGGGTTATCAACCTTACCCCTCCAGTCGATGTCCACCCCCGCACTGAAATTTAATTAGCATAATAAAATAATCAAAATCAGTGTTTAAGATAGAGATATCCGTTTTTTGGCATGGGCTGAGTCTCCATTTGCCGATGTCGGCCTTCTGTATCTGCGAAGGAAAGTGGCAGATCTACAGCGGTGTTTGTCAGACCAGGAGACATCCTCAAAATCTCACGAAAACATCTATCATTCAAACAGTTTGGGCTACAAACAAATACCACTCTATGGATAGATGAGACTTTCACAAACACAATGGTGTTCTTCATTTTGCTCCACGACCCCCACAAGCATCACAGACTCACCGGACTCGCCTGAAGTCAGTACTGCTGATGTGCCAACTTCTGTGTAGCGTTCAAACGGTTTGAGCTACCAACTAATATGACCACTCTATGAAAAGATGACTCTCACAAACACAATGTTCTCCGTTTTGCTCTAAGACCCCCACAAGTGTCACGGGACTTGTCTGAAGGTACCCAGTACTGGGCCAAAATAAATTAATGGAA